GGGGGGGGGGGGGTGAATTCAACCTCTGATTGTAGGGATCTAGTCTAGCTATCTGCAAAGTTCTAACAGGGCCTTGGGATTTAAGAACTCCGAAAAGGAAATGTTGCTAAATATTCAGATCCCTGTACTATGTCAACTGACAGGAAAGGGATGAACACTTGGAATTCCTGAAACTGCCACCACTAGGTCTGGGGCTGTGAGCGGCTCACTTTATGAATTCTAACCCTCAAGCCTGGATCCTATGTAAAGAGACTGAGGGCTTATGGGGTTCAGGGGCTTTGTCTTCGGGGAGGTTCTTCGCGGTTTTAGAGGTTTCGTGCTGCACTTCTAAACTCAAGTGCCTTTTGGGCTTCCTATCAGGGTACCGGAAGAAAGGCTCAAGCCTTCAGGGCTCCAGGGTTTACCCTAAAACCTAAAGGGGAGACGGTTACATCTAAGCCTTGGAGCCATAGAGTTCAGGGTCTTCCTTGCTCTCCGGAGAAGTGCAGAATTGGGTTCTGTGGCTTAGCCTTGGGCCTCGAAAACCGGATTTGGGGTTGGGGTTTCGGGTTGGCCTAGCCCGCAGTAATGCCGGTTTGGGATAAGGGTTTGGGGTTTAGTACTTGCAGGTTCATGGGTAGTTNNTAACCCCACTTATAACTACCCATGGGGTTATAAGTAAGGCAACTGTAAGTAAAACCATATCATGGGACTTATAACTCCAGTTTCCTGCAAGTAGGTTTAGGGTCAGGGCATAAAGGACGCGTCACAAAGCCTGATCCCGAGATCCTCACGTCCCTAAATCCCTAAAACCTGCCTAAACCCTAAAACCCCAAACCTATAGTAATTACCAGTATAGTAACTCTATAGATCACTTATAAGAAGCCTTATTTAAGGACCCCTCTAGAGGAACCCTAGCCCCTGTCTGTACCCGATAGAATATTGCCTGCGTCTGCAGGGGCGGTGGCGGCAGGCCACGTGCACGCTCGATCCTTGGCAGTCTCTCACAGAGGTTTCCTTATCCAATCAGTCAGAGGTGCAAACATGTCTGCCCATACATACATATATATATATATATATATGTATATATGTATATATATATATACACATGCATATATATATATATATAGAGAGAGAGAGGTTATGATAGGTGTAGATTTTGTGTTGATGGGCTACACTTCATGGTTAAATAGTGTTTGACGTGAATCACGGGCCAAAATCCTCTCTAAACCCTATCAACCCGAAGACCCAAGGAGGTGCCTTACAATCCCAAGCTAAGCCCTGTTTGGGCTTCGGGTCCTAAGCCGTAAACCACGGACCACTATAAGAGGGGCCCACTTAAGGGTACTACAGGGTACTACAGAAGGGTCCCCTCAAAGGGTACTATGGGGTTCTAGAGTAGGGTCCCCTTTAAGGGTACTATGGGGTTCTACAATAGGGTACTGTACCCTTTAAAGCGAACCCTTAGAGCCGTGAAGAATCCAGGGCTATGGAAACGAGGTGCCACCGCATCCGCGGCGGGACTCTTGACACGGCCTGAGCGCCTCCCTCCTGACCCAAGGAATAGGTCTTATGTAGGGTTTTTGGTTAGGGTCAGGCTTGTGATTAGCTGGTTTTGCACGGGGTGTAGCATGTATCTATTCAGGTTTAAAAATTAGGTGATGGCAGGGGTAGTGTTTACTAGCAAATCACCTTCTGCCTTGAACAACATCGCAAGGGTAATTAGGGATTAAGCTCATATCCTAGTGTCAATGTTCAGCATTGGGGCCAGGAGGGTTTTGTCTTCACCACACAAGTAGAGAGTCAGGCATCGAAACGTAGAGCTGCACTGGAAACCCTGAAACGGCCCCGCACGCCAAGACAATAGAAATGGAAGGCCGCGATGTCCCAACTAACATGTCTTCTGTTTCACGCCAATGCGGGTATACTCGAGTTTGTAAGTAGCGCAGATGTTGACACTGACGGTCATGATGCTGCTAATGATGACACGTTCATGGTGACGAGATGAGTATACTGTTGATGCTGTTGTTGGTGGTGTGGATGATGGATGCTGATGAACGTGATGTAGGAAAAGCACTACGATGATGCTGGGGGTGATGACGATGTCCGTGGTGATGATACTGATGATTGCCATAATAAGGATAACTGGCAATGACAACCCTGGTCGTTATGACAAAAAACGTACTGTACACAAAACATGCATAGTAAGGGAGTCACATCTGTAGTCCCAGTAACCCAGTTTGGTGGGTGTATTGAAGTTTATGCCGATGTCACCGACTCGCTCTATTATCAATCGACGGGCATAAGTGACTAGAAAAGGATTTCAGATATCATTGCGGTTTCTTTTGTAAGGACTGTACGGAGATACCCCTTACTAATTACCCCAAGCTTGGACCCCAAACCCCTACAGTAGCACCTCAAAGCTGAACCCCAGGACGCGAAATCTAAGCCACTCAGGCCTTGAAACCGTTAGAAAGTCTCGCTTAATATAGGGGCCTTAATGGTTAGAATAGGGACTATAATTACAATAAGGAACCCCCAAAACAGCAGAGGTGACTATTTTCGGCCCCTACATTTACTTGTCGTCTTCGCAGTTGAGCCTACAAGGGGCGACCCGGAGCACGGAAACCAGAACCTCAAACAAATGAATTCTTAGTCACCGAAATTCCCTAAGCCCAACCGAAACAAAAGATCTAAAAGAAACCTGAGCCCGAAATCCTTGCTAGCTCTTCGTTGCAGCGAGCCAGGTGGCAGCTCCTGTGCAGTACACGTACTTAGGGTAAGGGGGTTCAATGGTTTACGCCTAGAGGCACCTAAACCCTAAACCCTTATTTGTATATGTATGTATGTGCATGTATATATAGACATACATATGTATATATATATATAGATATAGATATATGCCTCCATATAAATATATATATATATATGTATAGACTGTATAGATGTCATAAAGGCGTCCTTCAGGAATCCCTGAAAAGGTACATGTACGAATTTCGTACTTTGGCCCCCAAGTACCTTCGAGGCCACAGTTCTCTCGAAGAACATGTGGATTCTTAAGGAATACCCCTAGCCGAAAAGACCTACCTTTTACCGTTCCTTGTTGTGGTTTCTATATTACTATATAGTTCCTTCAAAAGGGAAATCCTTCAACAATTTAGGGTTCCGTATTGTGGTTTCTATATCAATATATAGCTCCTTCAAAAGGTGAATCTTTTCGGTTACAGGTACTACACGGTAGCATCGAATTGGTGTTAGGGGCGATGAGTCTACCAAGGAATGATACTAAGTACTCCGACCTCCGTATTCTGGTAATTAGCGCTTGAGGGGTAGCTGGACAAAGCCTAAACCCTAAACCCGAAGCAGTTTTGTATGTGGGACTCAGGAGTTTGGGTTTCTGGTGGGTTCGAGTCCTGTTGCTGCGGCCTTTGAAGAAGAGGATGGCGTGCAGATGGTCAGGGTAGTGAGGGTGACGAGCTTTTTTTCATGAGGATCCTGCTAGGTCCTAGTATTAAGGGTCTGCTTGTCCACTTGGTTCTTTTGCTGTCTGGAACTCCCATATATTTATCCTTGAGGCCTTAGCGTCATAAACCTCTATGCCTCTATGCACATAAGTTCGAAAAGACCTCAAAGGCAGTGGAACCAACATGACGAGGTTAAGAAAATGAAGCTTTCGCTCATATAGATCTCAGATAGCAGAATGCTTCTTCTAAGGACGCTGACGAACGACCTCTAATCGAAAGACTGGCCTGAAACCCACGGATTTTAGGGGCTCAGAGAGTGAAGCCTCAAGCCCAGCCTCCATGGGTGCTTCATCGGCCCCACGGCAAAGGAGCGAGTCCTGCCAATATGTTCAGGGTCTATGGGGTGCTTCGTGTGCAAGGTGTTGGCACTAGGAGCCTTGGGGGCAAAGTAGGGGCCTAAATATTTAGAAGAATTATGACAAGGACCCCCCAAAATAGTATTGGTAGTTATTTAGGACCCTACATTACAGCTTGCGGCTCAGGATTCAAGGTTTCGAACCGATGGGTCCATCGCGCAGGAATCCTAGGCCTCTTTGCCAACCCCAATGCCACGGTTTAGGGTTTGGCTACTCTTTCCAAGTGCCCAATGCAACTGATGTAGCAACATGGAGATCAGACACAAACAGCCGAACCCTCAACGCTAAATCCTAAACCCTAAACCCTAAACCCCTAAACCCCTAAACCCCTAAACCCTAAACCCTAAACAACACAGAAGTCCTTGAGGGCCCTTAATAAAACCCCATGATGGGTCTCTGGCTGAAGCCTGCCTTTCCTAGCCCAATTTGGCCCCTCAGCCTTTGGGGACCTCTCGTGCGATGGCCTACTTGAGAATTTTGTAATCCCGGGTCTCCATAGGGTTTAGGGTTTAGGGGTCCCCATATCCATATCCTGGGCCAGGAGCCAAAATGGAGCAGCAAAGCCCTGCAACCTTGCAACCGCAAGCCATCAAACTCTAAAGCCCACAACCTTTGAGACCAGGACCCCGCACCAGTTAAACCCTAAAAGCCAAAAAGCCCCAAACCCTGGATCCCGAGCCCTGAAACCCTTGACCCGAAACCCCACTACCCCAAACCCTGAACCCCGAAAACCTCACAAAACGCAATTGCCCAACCCCTTACCGCCGAAAAGCCTGTTTGCCATGACACCCCAAAGCCGGCATAGTACCCTTACTCTGAAGGAACCCTAAACCCTAAACCCTTATGAGTCCAGGCTCGAAGACATCCATTCCAGCAGCCCGCTCATGGCTTCGGCAGGTGAGTGTTGGCAGGCTGGCGGTGCGGACCCTGAACCCCGCAGAGGGGCCTAGGGCTCCTTTACAGGATCTATTAAGGCTTACTTTACTATATGGGCAACTATAGAACTTTAGACTTTAGGGGTTTAGGCTTCAGGGTGTCGGCTTTAGGGTTGACTTTGTTGGGCTCTGGGTTTTAGGGGTTGTAGGCTTAAGGTGCTATGTGATAGTTTTGGTTATAAGAGTCTTTGAAGGGTGGGTTTTGCACATGCTCTTGGAGGCGATCGCAGACGTTTAGAAGGGTTCAGTGCTTGGTATTCTGAGGGTTTTCCACAGGCAAGCTTTAGCGGTCCTAAGATCGTCGGCCTTTTAGGACGTTTTAAGGGGTGTAGGGCTTCGGACTGGGGGGTTACGGCTTACAGGGAGTAGGATTCAAAGCTTAGGAACTTGAGGGCAAGTGCAAGGGTTTCGGCTCGTGGCACACTGTGCACAAAGGTTGCACGCGCCATAGATTTCGCATGGCGCTATGAGCGGGTTGGAGGTCTGGGAAGGTTGGGTCCAAGGCCAAAGTGCTTCAGAATCTAGGGTGCAGGGTTTGGCCAAGTTCTAGGCTCCCCACAAGCCGCACATCGAAGCACTGTGTGATGACTTCCCGGCCAGAAAGATGTGGGATCTCTAACCGATAAAGTTCTGCGACTGAGCCAATCCAAAGGGAAGCAGTCACCGAGCATTAGGGCACTGCACGTGTGGCAACAAGCAACAGTGTAAAACATGAACGCTAAACCCACTGTCTCCTATGATACATTCTGTGATATCTTCTTGCCCTATGTCGCCAATCGAAAGGTTTTTAAGACTTCTTGAATTCCGTCCCAAAACCAGGTGCGAAAAGCAGGCGCCGTGGGCTTGCGCCGACTCTTCTATATAGAGGGTTGCCGTCGGGATCTCAGGGTAAGAGCTTTCGGCATGCAGAGATTGGGTTGGTGAGCCAGCTCTCGTTTCAGAGGGGGTTGGGTTTAGGGTTTAGGGTTTAGGGTTTAGGGTTTAGGGTTTAGGGTTTTGTTTTTTGTTTTTTTAAATGGGTTTAGGGTTTAGGGTTTAGGGTTTAGGGCCTAGACTCTTTGAATTCCCGCCGGTTGGCTACCAGCCTAAGTGCTGCACTGGGGACCCTCGGAAGGAAGCTTCCTTCACAGACCGGCAGTCATGCATACCAGTTCGTAGATGTACACCCAGGGGACTTTCAGAACACAAAGGACAGTAGGTGTTGAAATGAACTCGTGCGGTTGAGCATGGCCCAGTACAAATTCTTGCCGGGTGATGACCAGACCAATCGTGTCTCTTATAACTCGAGTAGTACTGACACGAAAGACAAACTGGGCCCAGTGTGATTCCTAAAGCCGTGCTGACCAAAATAGTCGCAGCTCTGGTAATACTGACACGAAAGAAAGCGGCTAACGCTGTAGCAACCAACACAAACATTCAACATGATAAAACGAAGATGGCAAACCATTATACCAAGATGAGAGCAGCTATCACCCATGGTATACACTGTGGCAACCCTCAAACCGCAAGAACCCACCAACCCCCATACCAACACTCACAGCCGTAGTTCTTACAAGAGTATCTTAGAGTATATAATGGTATATGAGAGTATATCACAGTATATGGTTATACTGTAACTAAAACAAGGACCCCCCAAAAAATAGTATTGGTAATTCTTCAGGCCCCGACAATATATAGTAAGCCCTCGTGATAATTTGAAACCCCTCAGAGGACGCATGACCCCTCCCCTCTCCTCCCCGCAAAAGAAAGCATCCCTCGGAAGCCACCGAAAGCTGCAGGAAATCAACAAGCACCCTTCGACACCCTCTACTCTAAACCCTCATGAATCATGAGGTCGCTTCCACAGACCCCTTGAAGTTTGAAGAGAAGCAAAAGAAAAGCCCAAAAACTGCTGAACTCTTATCAGACCCTATAGAAATGAGCACCCTAAAGAACACCCACAATCCAATAAGCGCACAAACACAAACACCAATCTAATTCATAAGGGTTTCTATGCGCATTGCATTTGTCTCCGGTGAGGTGGGCAATGGGAGGGAGTCGAAATATTGAGTGTCTAGAGCCCTTGTAAAACACCCTAAGCAGCCCCCGATAAACACAATGCTCTATACCCAAAAAAACCACCCAAAACACCACACAAAAACCCATAAACCCAACTCCCTCAACCCTAAACCCTGCTCCCCAAAACCCGAAACCCCAAGAGGCTACAACCCGTAAGCTCAGCCTCCTCAGCACTCCGCGTCTCCGTCTCGGCTTCTGCGGCCGCCGCGTCAGCGGAGCGGAGCGGCTTCAAGGAAGCATCAAGGAAGCCTTTTCTAGGATGATTTAGGGTTAGGGGTCATTTTTCGGGTTTAGGGCCTAGGGCTTTCAGGCTTGGGGCGTAGGATTTACGGTTTAGGGTTTGGGTTTTGGGGCTTTTCAGGGAGACTGTGACTTGACGATTCTCGGTGGCAAGCAGGCCATAACTTGTCGCAGAAGTTGAAGGGTCAAGGTAAATTCAGTTCAAGCACTTTAAAGGATTATAGTAGCGATCCTTATATTAGGACCCTTTTTGTAAGGCCATGAGTACAGGCTTCAGAACACTCGTCAGAACACGACTTGACTGCTCGCATGCTGGACCCTCGAGCCACTGCCCACTTGTGGTGTATATGCTACATTATAACAGATGATACAATATTACGCTGCACATAGTCTATGGTACATTACATTACATTATATAGCAACTTGAAGTGTAGCATAGTACAGTGTAGTGCAGTGCAGTGTTTTATCGTATAGAATATTTGATATACGATGCCAGCTATAACGAATTAGATATTATTGTGTATGGTTATGTTTTACTCGACATGGGCTTTGGGGCTACGATTGTCATGATTGTCGCTGCTACTCGTGTGGTCAATTCGTTACGAGTATGAGCTACTCCTGCTGCTGATGCTGGCACTATGAATATGATGCTACTGCTGCTGCTGATGATGATGATGTTGATGTTGATGATGATGATGATGTTGATGTTGATGTTGATGATGATGATGATGATGATGATGATGATGATGATGATGCTGATGCTGATGCTGATGCTGATGCTGATGATGATGGCCCCTAATGCTCCATGTACCTATACAGTATATGTTTTCGCCATAAAGTACAAAGTACCGATAGGAACCCCTTCAATGCCTAAGTATATACCATAGCGGGTTCAAGAAATCTCGTAATCCTGAGCGCCAGGCCCACGCGCTTCTCGATCTTCTCGGTGAGATCGGAGGTGACGCTCCGACCTTCCCGAGGCCCCAGCTTGGGCATCGACTCACATGGAGGTTTCTGAGAATGAGGGAAAAAGGGGTAACGAATCGAAAAACCTCAACCCCACAAACCTTTATAGGGATTCGAATAACACCGACCTGAAGCTCTCTCATAACTGGCGCTCTTCTGGGGTTCCTGGATATTGACAGCTTCCCTTCGATCCCCCCTCGGTTTCAGAGCCCGCAGAAGCTCAAACCAGGACAACCAAACCCTAGACCCCATCTCAAGCCTAGCTGAGGATGCTCTAACGTCGGATGCCATGACAATGCCAAAACCTTGGCCCCACTTACTTTTGCAGTAGGGCTTGGAGTACGGCCCGAAGTCTGTCTGCATCCCACCCAAAGATCCAGCACACCAGATTCAAGAACTCCAATAATAATAATCACTGCATGTCTAAGTCCGAAACATGTTTCCAGCTCCGTCCTGGAAGAAAGCGGTCCAAAACTGTCTCTGACGCTTTGAATCCTAGAAGGCCTCACAGCAGGCCTGAACTTGACACCCCCCAAAAACATCGAGGATTAGGGTTTACGGCCGTTCAGGGTCTCCTGTGACGATTCTCCCCTAAACCCTAAACCCTAAACCCTAAACCCTATTCTCAGACTCTGGCTTCGCTCGAAGGCCTTCTTGGATTCAGCTGCCGCCAGCTCCTACACTCCAAGGTTCATGGGAATCTCTGGGTAGTTTTCTAAATTCGGGTCCCTTTTTAGATCCCCAATATAGTACGGCACCCTTAGAAAAAGGACCCTTAAAGGGACCCTAATTTAGAGAACTACCCATATTATACAGAAAGTACCTTAATTGGGGTTAGGTGTAGTATGGTGTAATTATGA